ACCCTTCAGCTGTCTCATCTGCCAGGCACCGTTCTAAACACCTTTCGTGGATGGACTCACTCAGTCCTTGCCACAACCCCATGACGCTGGTACCACAAGCATCCATCTGCATTTTACAGATGAGGATACTGGGGCTTTGTGACATCCCCAGAGTCTCACAAACTGCAGCAGCAAATCTGGCCCATAAAATTGAAATGGCAAAAATTTTGCCTGTAAACTAAACACACAATTACCATTCAGCCAAGCAATGGCATTTAGGGAAATGAAAAAACATGTTCACACAAAACCTGTACACAAATGTTTATAGCAGCTTTATTTGTAACGGTCAAAAACTGGGGAGCAACCAAGACGTCCTTCCACAAGTGAAGTATGATTGATCATTTCATTGTGGTTAAACAGTGGTTAAACTTTGATATATATGAGCCATGGAATACTAAGCAATAGAAAGGAATGCACTATTGATATACAATGCATGCAACAATTTGGATAAATCTCCAGGAAATCATGCCAGTTCCAATAAAGCCAATTCCAAAAGGTCGCATACTGTATGAGTCCATACATAAAACATTTTGAAGTGACAAAACCTGGAGAACAGATAGTGCTCCAGGACTCAGGGAGAGCATCAGGAAGGAGGTGGTTGCGGTTATAAAGATAATATGAGGAGTCTTTGCAGTGAATTGTTCAGTATCTTGACTGTGGTGTTGGACACACAAACCAACATGTAATAAAACTGTACAGAGCTAAACATACACATAAGTAAAACCAGGGGATTCTGAGTAAGATCTGTGGGTTGTGCCAATGTCAGTATACTGTTTGTGATACTGTACTACTGCTTTCCAAAATGCTGCCATTGAGAGAAACTGGTAAAAGGTTATGCTGTACCTCCCTGTATCAATTCTTACAACTGCATGTCATACAATTATCTCAATTTAAAATTTCATCTAAAAAAAAAAAAGCTTGCCAGCCCAAAAGCTGAGCTAGATCATCTTTTACATTTCTTTCACCTGAGATCTGCAATTTCCAAAGTCTCCAAAGCCAATCCTCTTGCCACCACACAGTACTTCAAACACCGATGCGAAGTTAAACTCTGAGCAACAGAAAACTACGACACCAAGCCCTATTTCACAGAATTCTGCACAGCTAGCCATTTTGAGTTCCCTCAGAAAATTATTCCAATTACCGAAAATAAGCCTCCTGCATTCTTTCATTAAACTGACTTCTGGTCAAAAGATGGAAAATGTGATTCTACAAAATGTTCTCTCCACCAAATAGTCTCTCCCTATCTCTCTGTGCCATCCCCTCCCCCCAAATAAAGTCTGTGTAAAAATTTCTGTTCTAAATCTTCCCTGAAAGAAACAGCACCAATGAATTATCACTGGCTCTTTACACCAGTTCCCAAATGGCCAGCTGCTACCGCAAGGCAATGAGGAAATAAGATAATGGGTTAGGGGCTGAGACAGACCCCAGGTCAAGCTGTGACCTTGGCCAGGTTCCTTAAACTTGAGTCTGGCTTCTCTTATTTATAGGATGGGGATGTGGCACCTCTTTCATAGGTATGGGGAAGAATTCAGGGAGACAATTTATGCGTCTGACATTAGTATTTACTCGATGCTCTTTCGTCCCTCCCCGTTTCCCTTACCAACAACCAAAACAAGCTGATTTTATGTTCATCTGGCCACAAAGCGATCACTCCCTGGAATCCCTTCCGCGCTGAGGTTAGTGGATAACTCGGAACACTCCCAAACTGGACCCAACCTATTCCAAGCACAGCAAATCCTACCCTATCCCCTAAGACAAAGAAGGAAAATAAATCAGCCTCCAAACGCTGCCACCTGCCCCGCAGCCGGAATCCAGGGTAACCCGCCGCCTGCCGGACTCCGGCTGTTACTATTATATCGCTCATTAATAACAATACCTAACGGTGCGTGGGGGTGACCGTCTCCCAGGTGATGTCTGTGGAACCCTCGGGAGAGCCTAAATAGCATCCAATTCAGATTTCTGGCTAAAAATCTCAAGAATTTACAAAACGGCTTTCCCGGATAGGAGAAGAGCAAGAGTTGTAAAGTTTCTGGAGGCGCATTTTTCTGCGTTTCCCGGAACCGCACGGCAGAGGCGATGCCGCCCGCGGTTGGGGTTGGGGACCACCGAGGGTCACGATGGGGGCGGGGGGAGCGGCTCTGGAGGTCAGCAGCGGACCCGCGTGGGTCCGACGGTGCCGGCTTCCCCGCTGACCGCGTGGCCGGGGACCTGGCGCCCCAGCCCGGCGGGGAGGAGACACCCAAGCTCTGGAGGTT